GGAAAAAAAAAAAAAGCCAGAAAAGGAACTCCAGTCCACGTTCAATTTGTAATATAGCTCACACCAACAAAAAATTGACTGAAGCGGTGTCGGCGCGGCGGCCGGAAGGAGTATGAGGATCATGGAATGGGCGGCGAGGAGAGATCACCTGGGTGGAGTTCCCCGGAAGATAATTTTCACGGCGGTCGGAGCATTTGCAAAATCGGTGGCCAATCTGCTCAACACCACCACCGTCTACAACGCCGAAACCCTCCTCCACCTCGTCCGCCACCGCCCGCCCGCCGTCCCTCTTATCACCGTCAGCAATCACATGTCCACGTCAGTCACTCTCTCAAGTAAAGTAGTTGTTTTTCCATGATTTCCCCTTTCCTTCTGCGTTTTCTTCTTCAACCTTTTATAAATGAGGAAAAATATTATTGGGGCGTGTTATAAATCTCAGGGTACTCGCACGAGTAGGGCGAGAATCTTCTTCTTTTTGTTTCCTTGTTCTGGGTGTTACTTTTAAGTGATAATAATTGTGTTGATTTGTGGTTCACTGTTTTCTTAGGCAGCAACAAAGTGTTTGATCGTTTCTAGTCAGTATTATTAGTTATCATGATTGTAACATTGTTCGTCTTTTTATTCAGTTTGGATGACCCATTGATGTGGGGATTCAAGGGTTTCCCCATAGCTGATGCAGATTTAGGAAGATGGGTACTTGCAGCTGAAGATATATGCTTCAAAAATCCTTTATACTCCTATTGTTTTCGGCTTGGTGAGTAAATGTCGATTTTAATTTATTTCCATTTTGTATTATCGACATTCCTACACAATTCATTTCTTTGAAAAAGCTAAATTGTGCTAATATTTTTATGTTGAGGTAGCTGAATTCTCGAAACGAAAGCATTGGCATTTGCTGATTTATTCTGTAAACGCACTTCTCTTCTAAAAGAATACTTTAACTGAACTAGTCAAATGAAAAGAGTAGTTAAGAACGGGCACTTAGGCTACTTTACTTGAAAACCTGAACTTTGTAATCAGTATACCGTTTGAATAATAATATATGCAAAAACTGTTGCTTGTTGATCTGTTGTAGTCCACTTTTTGCGAATCACAAGCATATTGTATGGCCAGATTTTAGCAATTATGTTTTACTGGAGAATATTCACAGTTCCCATTCCAGTACGTGTGTGCTATCTTTTAGCTTATTCAATTTTTAAGTATTCTGTTGGTGGATTTGTTCTGTTTATAATATGCTAGCCAGTTTTCTATAAACGCTGTTACCTTTTACACTTTTCATTCATCATCAAAAAATTTCACAGGGAAATGTATTCCAATAACGAGAGGTGGTGGAATCTATCAGCCGCATATGGATGAGGCTCTTGAGCGCTTGGCTGATGGAGCTTGGGTACTCATTAACGTGATATGCAAATTTTGAATTACTTGAAAGTCCTACACTAAGTTTCAAAGTTATATTGGCCAGTGGAATGGCAACTGGCCAAAGAGTTTTCTTAATATTTTTTTTTTTCATGTCCTTTTCTTTCGTGATGCTAAGTATACAGCGATCGTCTTTGGAGTTTACTTGTGTTGGTATTTTTAGCATGTTCACAAGTGCTCAAAATCAAACGTTTAACGTATCAAATATTTTTGCCACTCTTTAAGATTTAACTGAAAACATTCGTATCCATTTAATAGCTACAGAACACATATCAGAGTTTATGGTATACAGTTAAACAATTTCTAGTATCTGATTGTCTGTACGTAATTTTAGGTTGTGTAAACCATCAAAAGAATAAATGTGGTTGTTTTTGGCGATATCATAAACAGTTGGTGTTATATTACTAGT